TGTTAATGCCAAAGTTACAATGACCTAAAGTTCAAGTCTGATCTTCTGTTACAACAATGGGGTTTTTAAAAAAATGTGTACTGATGTTAGTAAATATATGGAAATGGTCTAAATAATAAATCTTAGAATTTGCTTTTGTAAAAAACTGTAACGTCTCTTTTTAACAGTGTCTGCTTAATTGGTTACTCTGCCATTTCTAGAGTTAGGTCCTATAAGTTATTTTTGACTCTGCTAAATAGTTCTGAGTTATGTCATAATTTCGTGTGCTAACTCTTATGTTCAAGGTTTTTATTTCTGGTTTATTCGACAGCAAGAGACAGAGAATTCACGTTCTGCCAAAGTAATCTATTGTGTACGCTACTGTCTCTGTTAAGTTCAGATTGGTGAAAAGCATTAAGTCTTAAAAAGTTATGTTAAATATCATTAAGATTAGATCTAGTCTAGAAATATTAACATCACCCTGACTAAATGAATGGCTATCATTTCAGGATGTTAAGGAATTCTATTTTGACCAGATACTCTAAGTTCTCTTGGCACCTTTAACAGACTTTATGAAAATCAAAGTTCTAAATTCTCTGGACTTTTGGTATCTCCAGAGGGCCCCTGGAGATGTCAAAAGATGTATCTCTCATCTTGCAAAGATAATAACCAATCGGGCTGTTTAGATCAAAATTGCTGCCAAGATGTGAAATGATGCTAAATTTCAGTTATAAACGTGTTTCTTTCTAGCTGCTCCAGTCTCTCGCTCAGAAGCCAGATTCTTTAAAGAGGGACTGACAAAGTCTCCATCCAGCTAATGCTAAATAACCAGGCATTGCTAGTTCAAATGTATTGCTAGTTTGAATGTGGATCAAATGGAGGTCTAGCCTAAAGAGAGAAAGTGTTCCAAAAGAGACTTAGAGACAATGGGAGATGGTTATGTGGCAGATACCAGAGAACTGCGTTCCAGGAGCCTACAGTGTTTTCTCAGAAAAGCAGCCATGGCCCACCACCTAATTTCTTTCAGGTAAGAGCTCAAATATCAAATCCATTTTTCTTCTTTTACTTCTTCTCTAAAGTACCTCCTTATCTTCGCATAGCATGTATAACTGGTGTCACAAAGGAGAATGAGGAGATACTGTGGTATATCAGGTAAAGCTGCCACCTGCCATGCAGGCATCCCATTGGGGATGCTCCATTTCTGATCCAGCTCCCTGCTAATATACCTGGGAAGGCAGCAGAGGATGGCCCAAGTACTTGCACCTCTGCACCCACATGGGAGACCCAGAAGTTCTAGGGTCCTGGCTTTGGCTTGACCCAAGCCTAGCCATTGCAACCATCTGGGGAGTGATCTAGAAGCCAAAGAACTGTGTGTATATCTCTCCTCTCTCTGTAACTCTGCCTTTCAAATAAATAAATAAATAAATCTTTTTTTTTTTTTTTTTTTTTTTTTGACAGGCAGAGTGGACAGTGAGAGAGAGAGAGAGAGAGAGAGAGAAAGGTCTTCCTTTGCCGTTGGTTCACCCTCCAATGGCCACCGCAGCCGGCGCACTGCGCTGATCCGATGGCAGGAGCCAGGTACTTATCCTGGTCTCCCATGGGGTGCAGGGCCCAAGGACTTAGACCATCCTCCACTGCACTCCCGGGCCACAGCAGAGAGCTGGCCTGGAAGAGGGGCAACCGGGACAGAACCCGGTGTGCCGGCACCGCAAGGCGGAGGATTAGCCTATTGAGCCACGGTGCTGGCCTAATAAATAAATCTTAAAAAAGAAAAAAGAAAAAAAAAGGTACGATGTGCTTCTAACTCAACTTTTAAATGGATTCCAGTATCTCAACCTCATATTAAATCTAAAACCTGCATAGTTTCGAAGCTTTTCTGCTAAACAATAAACAATTCCTAATAAATACTGTGTCTATTCCAAATTACTACCATATACTGTGAAGTTAATTTAAAATTGCTTCCTCCCCTCTCACAACCACCTAAAATACATTTCAAGTTCTCTGCTCATCTCATGGAAGTCCCTCAAAAGACCTGTGGTGAAAGCCCTTCCTCCCACTCATAATGAAGGATTCCAAAGCAAGACTAAAGTTCCTTCTAAAGAAATATATAAAATCTTGTTCCCTCTCCATGTATCAACCTTTTCATTCCTGGCTTACAGGTGCAAAATACATGGAACTAGTTCCTTTGAACTCTCCTCTGTAAATTCTATATATAGGAGGTTTGCCTTACTCCATCTTTGGTATTTGATATCTATCCTATTACTGCTACATACAAAAGTGATTCAAGAAGAATTTTATTAAATATTGTTATACTGATTTACTGGTTTATGGTCTGTCTCCCCCATCTGTTCACTGTAATATTCCAAGCACTTTCACACCTGGGTGGAACATGCTAAGCCTCAACAAATATGAGGAGCCTTCAAAAAAATCATGTGAAATAGAATTAAGAGATGTTTACCTTGGTGCAAAAATTTTTAAACAAACAGTCTTTTCAAAAAACACAGTCCATAGTCTCATGAACTTCAAGAACCCTCATATGCATGGGTATCAAAAAATTCTGCATCAAAATAAACATCCCCTAATTCCATTTCCTATGTACTTTTATAATTTTTCTGTATTTTGACAGGTAGAGTGGACAGTGAGAGAGAAAGAGAGAGAGAAAGGTCTTCCTTTGCCGTTGGTTCAACCCCAATGGCCTTTGCGGCCGGCGCACCACGCCAATCCGAAGCCAGGAGCCAGGTGCTTCCTCCTGGTCTCCCATGCGGGTGCAGGGCCCAGGGACCTGGACCATCCTCCACTGCACTCCCGGGCCAGAGCAGAGAGCTGGCCTGGAAGAGGGGCAACCAGGACAGAATCCGGCACCCCGACTGGGACTAGAACCCAGTGTGTCGGCGCCACAGGTGGAGGATTAGCCTAGTGAGCCGTGGCGCCAGCCCGTATGTACTTTTGAAGTACTCTCATATCTGCTGATTGATTAAAACTTGGAACTGCTATCTAAAGGATATGAAAAATATTGTCTGTTGATCCATACTTTCACATTTTTCTCTAGAAAGATGCTATCAATTGTACTCTTATTGATAGTATGTAAAAGCAGTTGTTGGGCAGTGCAGAGGGAGTCCTGTGACTCAGTTGGCTAAACAGCTAACTTCAGATACCTGCATCCCATACTGGAGTGCCTGGTTTTAAATCCCAGAAACTGTGCTTCTGATCTAGCTTCCTGCTAATGCATACTGGGAGGCACCAAGGTAACTCAAGTGCTTGGGCCCCTGACACCCTCCTGGGAGACCCAGATAGAGCTCTGGGGTCCTGGCTTTGCCCTGACTCAGTTCTGGCTGCTGAAGGCATATAAGGAGTAAACCAGCAGATGGAAGATCAACATCACCCAATTCCCTGCACCAGGTATAAAACAAACTCTAACTTCATTTTCCCTTAAAAATAATTTTGTGCCAGCATAGTGGGTAAAGCCGCTGCCTGAAGTGCCGGCACCCATATGGGTCCAGTTCAAGTCCTGGCTGCTCCTCTTCCCATCCAGCTCTCTGCTATGGCCTGAGAAAGTAACAGAAGATGGCCCAAGTCATTGGGCCCTAGCACTCAAGTGGGAGACCCAGAAGAGGCTCCTGCCTTCGATCAGCCCAATTCCAGCCATTGAGGCCATTTTGGAAATAAACCAGTAGATGGAAGATTCTCTGACTCTCTCTTTCTCTCTCTCTCTTTTCCTCTTCCTCTCTGTAACTTTGCCTTTCAAATAAATAACTAAATCTTTAAAAAAAAATTACTGTACACTTAATCTTAGCCAAAAGGCAGAGAAACGACAAAATCCTTGTTACTATACAGTATAACTTCAATCCTTTTTTTCTTTCAGAATATCCCTGGTTTTCCCATAATTGCCCTTTTAAATGAAGTTTAGAACTATGCTCAAAAACAGACATTCCAATGGGATTTTATTTTTAAAGTTTTTTTTGTTTTGTTTTGTTTTTGTGTTTTTTGTTTTGTTTTGTTTTGTTTTGTTTTGTTTTTTGATAGGCAGAGTTAGTGAGAGAGACAGAGACAGAGAGAAAGGTCTTCCTTCCACTGGCTCACTCTCCAAATGGCTGCAACGGCCAGAGCTGCGCCGATCCGAAGCCAGCAGCCAGGTGCTTCCTCCTGGTCTCCCATGTGGATGCAGGGGCCCAAGCACTTGGGCCATCCTCCACTGCACTCCCAGGCCACAGCAGAGAGCTGGACTGGAAGAGGAGCAACCGGGACTAGAACTGGTGCCCATATGGGATGCCGGCACCGCAGGCGGAGGATTAACCTAGTGTGCCAGAGCACCAGCCCCCTCAATGGGGTTTTAATAGGGATTATGATCAACATAATTATTTCATTACACTCAGCCATTCATTCAAAGCATGAAAAGTATCTCTGTCTTCTGTATAGTTGACCAAGTTTCTATTTAATGGTTTTCATACAGGTCATATATTTCTTGTGTTTCTTCCTAGTTATTTTGACAATTAAAAAAAAAATCAACCTTTGGAACACAGAAAATCCTGTATATAAGAAAAGCCATGTTAAAAACTAAAATCAGAGGCCAGCAGAGGCTTAGGGGTAAGGCCGTTGCCTGTAGTGCCAGCAGCCCATGTGGGCACTGGTTCGAGTTCCAGCTGCTCCATTTTTTATGCAGCTCCCTGCTAATGCTCCTGGGAAAGCAGCAGAAGATGGCCCACGTGCTTGGGCCCCTGCCACCCATGTGCAAGACCTGGATGAAGCTCCTGGCTCCTGGTCAGACCAGCCCAACTCCAGCCATTGCAGGTATTTGGGGAATGCACCAGTGGTTAGGAGAGCTCTGTCTCTCCTTCTCTCTCTCTCTTCCTCTCTCTCGTAACCACACCTTCCAAATAAATGAATGCAATTAAAAAAAAAAAAACTAAAAAATCAATCATTTTAATGATAATACAGTCTTATACAAACTAATACACATATATAATAGAATTAAAATCACATAGAACAGGTTTATCATTTTAATGCCCTAATTAAGTGCTTACTTGCAATGCCAAATGCATCTCCAATCCCCAAAATCAAGATCTGTTTTATCTGGATTTTCTTCTTCAGTTGGCTTCTCCAAGTTAATGTTGGACCAGAGTTGTAAACAGCTGGAACCAGTTAGAAGACGATTGCCTAAAAAATTATTATTCACCATTTATTAAGTATTTAATAGTGAGTTAAGTTATATATTCAAAATGTTTCATATATTACTATACAGGTAATACATTTTCTCAAGAAAAGTCAAATAACAAAAGGGTCTTTGGAGAAAGAAAGAAGAAAGTTGTATTTTAATTTTGTTCTACAACTTGGGAAAGAAGGTAAGACATCTACTCTTATTCAATGAACATTTCATGAGCTTCTCCTTTGTACCAGGCACTGTGCTAGGCACATGACAAGAAAAAAACAAAAAAACAAAAAACAAAAAGCCATTGTGTTCTACCATAAATTCCAGTAAAAGAACATTAAAATATTACAGTCCAACCTAAAAGTTTTATAAACATTATAGAAATGTATGTAAAGTGTTACAAGGGTACACAGGAAAGAGAAATTATGTGTACCTGTAGTGAAAATGCCATAGAAAGTAATTAAATACAACCTGGTCCACTGTGGATGAAAAAGCAGTAGAGGGGACAAGCATTGCAGAAAGGAGTTTCATCATGAATAAAGAAAGAAAGGCATGCAAGTCCATCTATTTTCCAAGAACGCTTTAATCTGATGTGATTAAGGAATATGATACATTGTAAAGATGAAAACAGTAGCTTGGAATAATAGGTTTCTTTCTTTCTTCCCTCCTTCCTCCCCCCTTCTCCTCCTCCTCTTCCTTCTCTCTCGCTCTCTTTTTTACACAGAGAAAGCTCCCATCCGCTGGCTCACTCACCAAATGCCCAAAGCCTTCACCAAAGCACGGAGCCAAGAATTCAATCCAGGTCTCCCACATGGGTCTCAGGAACTCACTCAACCACTTGAGCCATCAAAACTACACTGGCTGAAACCAGAATCAGGAGTCAAGAGCCTGAAACTGAAACTGAATCCAGCACTCCAATGTCGACATGTGTGTCTAAATTGGCATTTTAACCAGGCCAAATTCCCACCTCTGAAAAGGTTTTATAAGTGGCAAAGTGAAGGTTATATAATTGGACCTGTATTTTGAACAAGGGCCTAACTGAAGGTTCTAGTCAAAGATGAACTCAATGAGGACTTTAAGATTATATACAAAAGTTGTGTATATAATATGTGCATTTTTCCTAGAGATAATCCACCTTAATCAACTTCTGCAAGACTTTAAAAAAGAGATAAGAATACCCTTTTTCAAAAATAATACAAGACAGGAGCAGGAGCTGTGGCATGGTGGGTGCGGCCTCTGCCTTCCGTGCTGGCATCCCATGTGGGGGCGAGTTTGAGGCCCACATGTGCCTCTTCCAATCCAGCTCTCTGCTATGGCCTAGAAGATGCCAAGTGCTTGGGTCCCCGCACCTACACAGGAGACCTGGAAGAAGCTGCCGCCAGGTTTCAGATCAGTCGAGCTCTGGCCACTGCGACCATTTGGGGAGTGAACAAGTGGATAGAAGACCCGTATCTCTGTCTCTCCCTCTGTCTGTAACTCTTTCTCAAAACAAATAAATAAAATCTTGAACAAAGGAAAAAAAAAAAAAACAAACTTGAGACAGACAAGATTAGGAAAAACATAAGAGCAAAGGAAACCTAGTTAATTAACTATAATATTCATGAACCAAATAATTACAAGTATCAAGGATTTTGAAAGACATTGCAAAAAGTACAACTGTCAAGGCGTCATATCAACTAAAAAACAAGGGGAAAACAAGTGGTTTCAAGGACAGGTTCAACTTTATAACTTGACAGTTCAGTAGGTTGTGCTATAATCCACACAAAGAAGAGACAGAGGACAAGCAATTTGGGAAGGAAAACAATGCATTTACCTTGACAATTAAGATCAATGGATTTGTATTTGTAGGGATTATCATTTTCTTCCAAAGGAAAGTAGGGCTGTGGCAAAAGCATAGACTTTATATCAGAAATTCCTGAGTCTAAACACTAAGTAAGCCACTTAGTTAGTCATGTGAATTGAGCTAACTGGGCAACCTCTGAGCTCCAATTTTCTCATCCATAAAACCACAGGTTTGTGCAGAATTGTACTAAAGATTACCTTTAATACACACAAAATCTCTAGCACACGTCTGGCATATAGCAGAAGGTAACAAACAGAGCAACCAAGCAAAAAGTTTCACAGTCACAAAAAAAGCAAATAAAGTACTAATGAAACATTTCATTTCAATATATTTGTTATTTCACTGTGAAGCTTACAATCACACACAAGTTTTCTTTTGACATATACTGAAGATGAAATTATGATATACTACTTGATTGAATGAGAATTTTATAATACAAAACAATGAGTCCAGGGTACTGAATGGTTCAAAAGTAGGTCAGTATGCTATGATACATTGATTTGAAAGAAAAAGGACAGACATATGGATAATAAAATAGGTAGGGAAACTAGAAAACCCTTAACAGAACATCTCATGATGTACAGGATATACAACAGTGAATCCAGAGACAATACAAAAGCAATACAATACTGTAAGTTTAATAATACTATAGGAAAAACTTTATATCCTAATATCTGGTATATTACAGTAAGTAAATATTAATCATAACTTAAATACAGGTTGAACATCCTTAACTGAAAATCTGAAATCCAAAACAATGCTCAAAAAGTTCCAAATTTAAGGGCATTTGGTATTTCTGGGTCAGGGATGCACAACATTGCCACTGTCTATGCAAATACTACAAAAACCTAAAAAGCTGAAATCTGGTTTCAAGTATTTCAGATATGAGATTCTCACTCTATATTAATATTTCACCTACAATATTTAAAATCTGTTTATGAAGACAAAGTGCACTTGTAAAAGTAAAAATATACTACTTCTGTCTGCACTTCAGTGTTTATTGCAGCTCAATTCACAATAGCTAAGACATGGAATCAACCTAAATGCCTATCAACAGAAGACTAGATAAAGAAATTATGGGATATATACTCTAGAGAATGCTATACAGCAGTAAAAAAAAAAAAAATGAAATCTGGTCATTGGCAACAAAATAGAGGAATCTGGGAAACATCATACTGAGTGGCCAGCGCCGCGGCTCACTAGGCTAATCTCTGCCTTGCGGCGCCAGCACCCCGGGGTTCTAGTCCCGGTTGGGGCACCGGATGCTGTCCTGGTTGCCCCTCTTCCAGGCCAGCTCTCTGCTGTGGCCCGGGAGTGCAGTGGAGGATGGTCCAGGTGCTTGGGCCCTGCACCCTACGGGAGACCAGGGTAAGCACCTGGCTCCTGCCATCGGATCAGCACGGTGCGCCGGCCACAGCGGCCATTGGAGGGTGAACCAACGGCAAAGGAAGACCTTTCTCTCTGTCTCTCTCTGTCCACTCTGCCTGTCAAAAAATAAATAAATAAATAAATCATGCTGAGGGAAATAGGCCAGTCCCAAAGGGACAAATATCATATGTTCTCCGTGATCTGTGACAACTAACTGAGCACCTAAAAGGAAACCTGTAGAAGTGAAATGGACACTATGAGAAACAACGACCTGATCAGTCCTTGTCCTGACTGTCAAGGAACAACTTACTATTTTATTCCTTTTTGTATTTTTTGTTCTACTTAACACCATTGGTTGAACTCTTTTAATTGACACACAATTATGCTTAGGTGTTTAAATTTAACTGAAAAGTGATCCCTGTTAAATATAAGCGTGGGAATCAGAGAGGGAGGAGATGTACAGTTTGGCACATGCTCACTCAGACTTACCCCTAATGGTAGAGCTAGAAGCGTGCCAGGGGATCCCAGATCAATCCCATCAATGTGGCATGTATCAATGCTATCTCACTAGTCAAAGTAATCAGTTGAAATTCATCCCTGATCATAAAGATAGGATTGAGTCAAAGGGATCACATAAACAAGACTGGTGTCTGTTAATACTAACTGATAGAATTAAAAAGGAGAGAACGATCCAACATGGGAAGCAGGATACACAGCAGACTCATTGAATGGCAGATGTCCTAAACAGCACTCTGGCCTCAGAATCAGCCCTTAAGGCATTCAGATCCAGCTAAAAAGCCCATGAGAGTTTCTCAGGCAAGGAAAGCCGAGACATTCTGGCAAAACAAAAAAAAAAAAAAAGTGACTTAAGTGAAAGGTCTCTGTGAGTAAGATTCCAGCAGAAAGAACAGGCCATCATGGAAGGAGTTTCCTTTCTCTGAAGGGAGGAGAGAACTTCCACTTTGATTATGGCCTTGTCTAAATAAGATCAGAGTTTGTAAACTCAAGAGACTTCCATAGCCTTCGCAGCTCATGACAAGAGCCTTGGGTGATTACTGACGTCATAAATAATTGTCATTTGTTAAATCAACAATAGGAGTCACTGTGTACTTACTCCCCATGTATGATCTCTGTCCTTAATATGTTGTACTATGCAAATTAATGTTAAAACTAGTACTCAAACAGTACTTTATACTTTGTATATCTGTGTGGGTGCAAACTGTTGAAATCTTAGTATATACTAAGTTGATCTTCTGTGTATAAAGATAACTGAAAATGAATCTTGATGAAGAATGGGATGTGAGAGGGAGTGGGAGATGAGATGGTTGCGGGTGGGAGCAAAGTTATGGGGAAAAGCCGCTATAATCCAAAAGTTATACTTTCGAAATTTATATTTATTAAATAAACATTAAAAATATATAAATACTAGCTTCCAAGAATGCATTATAGTAATAGTCCACTTCTCATCCAAGCCACTAAATAAAAAAGTAATAAACTGCATGTGAATTTTAAACCTTGTAAGATTCAAAAGATAATCAATAGTCCTGAGTTGCTGTCAAGCCACCACCAGATATGCTGAGGAAATAAGTAATTTTCTTGTAATACTACTTTGTAAAGATGATTTTAGGGAGCCAGTATTGTGGAGTAGTGGTTTAGAAAGCCACTGGCATCCCATATGGGCGCCAGTTCAAGTCCTGGATATTCCACATCTGATCATGCTCCCAGCTAACATGCCTGGGAAAATGGCAGAACATAGCACAAGTGGTTGGGCCCCTGACATCCTGGTGGGAGGCCTGGATAGAGTTCCATGCTCCTGTCGATGGCCTGGCCCAGACCTGGCTGTTATGCCATTTGGCAAGTAAACTAGCAGACAGTCCTTCTCCCTCTCTGTAACTCTGCCTTTCATTAAATATGTAAATATTTTTAAAGATTATTTGAGAGAAATTTAACAATAATTCTGCTCTCTGAAGCATTATTACTATTGCCAGACCACAGGAACAAGATTCTAAGCTTAAATAAATATCATTTGGTCCAAATATTAAATGCTGGAGCTGGCACAGTGGCACAGTAGGTTAAAGCCCCAGCCTGAAGAGCCAGCATCCCATATGGGCACAGGTTCAAGTACTGGCAGTTCTACTTCCAATCCAGCTCCCGGCTAACATGCCTACGGAAAGCAGTGGAGGCCCAAGTCCGTGGCCCCTAAACCCATGTGGGAGACCCAGAAGCAGCTCCTGGCTCCTTTCTTCAGATCACCTCAGCCCCAGCTGTTGCAGCCATTTGGAGGGTGAACCAGCAGATGGAAGACCTCTGTCTCTTGTACTCTCTCAAGAATATAAAATAAATCTTTAAAAAATATATTAAATGTTTTTATTGCAGTTATTAGTATGACACTGCAAAGTAGGCAGCAAGTTTGTTCAATATTTGTAGCATTCTATCATTTACCAAGTAGGCACATATATACTGTAATATCTGATCATTAAAAATAATACTGAAAATAGATACTATCTCAATTTTCAAGTGAGTTAACCAGTGCTTATTTGTTAAGTGAGCTTTTCATAATCACAGAACTATCCATCAAGTATATGAGCATTTATTGAGAGCTTATTATTCACTGGAAATGTGAATATAAATATATGAATATAACAGAAGTGCTGCCCTTGTCTAAAAAATATATAAGCAAGCGAGGCAAACAAATAATTATAATAGATTATAGAGATATAAGAGTAACCACAGAATTTATAATTCAAGTAGGAACACTTGCAAGTGTAAAAGAATGAGAAATCAATAATAAAAAGAAGACAATAAACATACATGGGGCATACATCACCCTACCCACAGCAGAGTTAATATTCGAAAGTGCTATGCTAAATGCCAAATTTCAAACTAGGTCTGATCTCTCCTTACTGCATGCATCAATATACAGCTGGGTTACCATAAATAGCATCAACCTCAATCTCATAGGAATAAGCATTTTAAAAGATTGTGTGATTTTAAAAGCTTGAAAGAATGTGGAGAAAAGCGCACCCTAATCCACTGTTGGTGGGAATGTAAACTGGTAAAGCCACTATGGAAGACAGAATGGAGATACCTCAAAAATCTGAATATAGACCTACCCTATGTCCCAGCCATCCCACTCCTGGGAATTTACCCAAGGGAAATGAAATCAGTAAACAAAAGAGCTATCTGCACCTCCATGTTCATTGCAGTTTATTTCACAATAGCTAAGACATGGAATCAACCTAAAAACCTAAATGTCCACCAACCAAAGACTGGATAAAGTAATTATGGGATATGTACACTATGGAATACTACACAGCAGTAAAAAAGAGAGAGAGAGAGAGAGAGAGAAAGAGAGAGGGAGGGAGAGGGAGAGGGAGAGAAAGAAAGAAATCCAGTCATTTACAACAAAATGGATCAATCTGGAAAACTTTATACTTAGTGAAATAAGCCAATCCCAAAGGGGCAAATACCATATGTTCTCCCTGATCTGTGAGAATCAAAAGTGCAACTAAAATGAAAGCTGTAGAAGTGAAATTGACACTCTGAGAAACAATGACTTGAACAGCCTTCGTCTTGACTGTCAAGGGACAGTTTTTTTTTTCTTTTTTCTTTTCTTCATACTATATGTTGAACTCTTTACTTAACATGGTGTTAATCATATGTATATAAAGTCAACTGAAAATAGATCCCAGTAAAAAATAAGAGGGGGAATAAGAGAGGGAGGAGGAAGTTTGTAACTGTAAAGCTGTATAGTTCTGCATACAGTCCTACAGACTTACTTCTAAGGGTACAGTTTAAAAACTTATCATGGGACTCCAATCCCGTTGAATTTGGTGGTAAAAACGTCATCTTAATTGTTAAAGTGATCATATTAAGTGTTAAAGTGAACATACAGATAGGATTAAGTGTTAGAGAGATCATACAAATAATATCAAGTGCCTGGTAATAATAACAGAGAGAATTAAAAAGGAGGGAATGTCCAGCATGGGAAGCAGCCCATACAGCAGACTCCTAGAGTGACAATCAACTTAAATAGCACTCTGACCTCAGAATCAGCCCTTAAGTCTTCCTGGTCTGGCTAAAAGGCCTGTGAGAACATTTCAGGCACAGAGAGCCAAGACACTGTAGCAAAAAATATCCTACATGAAGGATCTCTGTGAGTGAGACCCCAGTTGAAAGAAGAGGCCATCAAAGAAGGATGTACTTTTCTCTGAAGGGAGGAGAGAACTTCCACTTTGCTTTTGGCCTTGTCCAAATACTGATGGAGTCTGTGATCACAAAAGGCTTCCATAGCCTTGGCAGCTCATGGCAAGAGCCTTGGGTGATCACTGATGTCATAAGAGTGTTAACTATTAAATGAACAACAGAAGTCACTGTGCACTTACTCCCCATGTAGCACCTCTGTCCTTAATGACTTGTACTATGAGAATTAACTGCAAAGCTTGTTCTCAAACTGTACTTTATATGGTATGTGTGTGGGGGGGCACAAATTGTTGAAATCTTTACTTAGCATAGAGCTGGTTCTCTTTATATAAAGTTAAACTAAAAATGAATCATATTGAGGAATGGGATGGGATAGGGAGTAGGAGGTGGGATGGGAGTGGGGGTGGGAGGGTGGGTATGGGGGGAAGGAACCACTATATTCCTAAAGTTGTACCTATGAAATTTGCATTCATTAAATAAAAGCTTTTAAAAGAAGGATTGTATGATTTTAAACTTCTCAAAGTATATTTATATCTTTTATCTTCTAAAATAACTTCCAATATTTCTGAAGTTTGTATTCTAATCAGAATTTTCCTCAGCAATGTCAGCTACTACATTATGAAAACTAAAACTATTTCCTTTATCTAAACTGACGACTTCTAAATCCTTGTTTCAAACAGAATTTCTTATGTTCTAGATTCAAATTTCATCTATTGCTTTATGATAATGCAAGCATCTAACATGCCATACATCCGAACACCACCAACAAATCACTACTTCCAACTCCTACATATCATTTTTCTTGTGCAGATATTCTCAAAGTAATCTCAAATCCACTTGTCAAGTGAAGCCAACTCTAAATGTATGCCTAAATGTATTTCATAACCATGCTCTCCTTTCATGAGTCATCAATTCATTTAATACTGAGTACCAACTTTGGCAAAGTCACTGAAACAGGTTCTTCTCACTTAGACTACTGTGAACGCATCCTCCTCAAAGAGTCCCTCTGACTCCCATTCCTCCTTCATTTGCTCTTCCTAAGTCACTGCTAGCAGAACAATCATGTAAACCCATATATATTAACATGCCATGAGCTTCTTTCAAAAATCTCTAACAATTTTTAGACAATTAAAAAGAATTAAATTCCAGAGCTGGCAGTGTAGCACAGTGAGTAAAGCCACCGCTTTTGACGGTGGCTTCCATATGGGTGCCAATTTGTATCCCCACTTCTAATCTAGCTCCCTGTTAATGTGCCTGGGAAAAGCAGTGGAAGATCGCCCAAGTGTCTGGGACCCTGCCATCCGTGTGGGAGACTTGGATAAAGCTCCTGGCTCCTGGCTTTGGCTTAGTTCATCTCAGGCCACTGAGCCCATCTGGAAAGTGAATCACCAGATACAAGACCTCTCTCTCACTTCTTCTATTTCTCTCTCTGTAAAGATATAATTAAATACATCTAAGAAAAAAGAATTAAATTTCAATGCTTTACCATAATTTTAAAGGAATTCCACAATACTCTGCTGTCTACGTTCTCACCACCATACACTGGGACTCTAGCCCAAGTGAACTGTTAATTGCTATTAGAATGTATCTTAGGCTTTCTTTCTCTGTGTTTTTGCTCACTATGGTAGAATGGTCAAAACATCTCCCAATAAATCATGTTTCCTTGTGCATACACCCTCTGCAACATGATTCTGCTGCATCTAAAAAAGAGATGGAGTCTATTTCTCCCATACCTTGAATATAAGCCAGTTTTGCCAGACTTTAGGAATCCTTGCAGCTTCTATCTTCACTCTCAGAATCCAGCTACCATGTAAATCTAGGCTCCCCTGCTAGAGAGGCCATACAGAAAGAGAGGCCATATAGAGAACAAAGGCAATATTCTGACAGACAGCAAGCAGCAAAGCCCAGATCTATGAACAACATTTTTCTTGGATCTTTCAGCTATAGACAGAATTGCTTTAGCCAATCACACATGGAACAAGAGACAAGCCATTTCTTTGAGGCCATGTGGTAATTCCTAATTCACACAAATAACCACTGCTGTTTCGAGCCGCTAAATTTTGGGATTTTTTTAATGCAGAAATAGATACTTGAGCATATATTATCTCTTCTGAAAATTCACTTCTTTTTCCCCTACTCCATCAACCCATTCTCACTGTTAACATCTATCTATTCATAAATCATAGATTCCCCTTCAACTAAACCAAGAAATTTAAGATATCATTCCAAAAACTGATATTCCCATTATGGCATTTACCATATTCTGTGATTTATTACAGTGCGTATCTGTCTTCATTTTGGTATAAATTCTAAAAGGGCACAATCTGTTGTACTTACTTTTATATTTTCCACAATCTCACACAGAACAGAACTGGCACTATATGTTACAATAATGAAAGCAACAGCCTAGGCAAGTGATATTTCATGTCAATTAACCTGCTTATTTTCTCACCTGTGGGATCCCAAGTTATATTGTGTGCTATTGACTCCAGAAAAAATTGGCCACTTTTCTGCCACTGACTATATAATTCCTAAAATGAAAAAAGGTCAATTAGGCAACTACAATTAGCATTTTTCCTGTCAAATGTAAATGGTCATATTCATCATTCTTATAAAAACACATGTAGTCATTTCTAAAGAAAAAAAAAGGTTCAATTTGGTCAAGAAAAACAGAGAACATATGACAGAGGAGATTAGACACAGAATACCCATCCCTAGAGGTCCAAAAGTCTGTCTTTACTATGAAGTGAATAAGCCTGTACTACCTTGGATAATCCTCATATAAGATCACTGCTCTTGTTGTTATTATTAATTATAAAGACAGAAGTTTAATTTTAAATGTACGTCTGTGGCTCTATTTCAAGCTTTACCCCATCTGAGATCATGATGGTATATGGAGAAAGTTAAAATAAGAGATGAAATACCTCCTTAATATTATGTAATTTAAGGTCTTTCATTTGAAAAGATTTTTTCAATTTTTCTGCTTGAAAATCAGTAAGAAATAAATGCTGCACAGCAGTTCAAAACACATACACAAACTAAAGAACCTAGCTTTATCCTTATTACATATGATATACCCTGACATTTTCTACTTCATTTCATTTTCTTTTTAAATTCAGGATTCAGCCTACTAAGCTAATTTCACTGTCCTGGCTATTGTGGTCTTTTGGGGAGTGAATCAGAGGATGGAAGATCTCCCTCTTTCTTTCCTTCTCTCTCTCTGTCACTCTGCCTTTCAAGTAGAGAAGAACAGGATAATAATTCAAATTTCCTTCTTTTCCCACTCTCCAGCTGTCTTTTGACTGCTTTTGGTTGGGGGCTGTCCCACACCCAAGTGAGAAAGATGGTGGCTGCAAAGATGAAAAAATGTCTTTGGAGCTGATCGATTCCATGCTCTAGCTTGTTATGGAAAGTATAAAGTACATGCTGGGGTAGAAGCAGAATCTGAATACGATCAAAGAAAAGAAAACCTGGCTATCTTCACTAACAACTGTCCAACTTTGAGGAAACTGTAAATAGAATACTTAGCCATATTGACCAAAACTGGTGTTCATCACACCAGTGGCAATAATACTACAGAGTCCGCACACTGGCTATCATTGATCTAGGTGATTCTGATATCATCATAAGCATGCCAAAACAAACTTGTAAAATGTAAACCATACAAAATTGTTCTCCACTAAAACTTCGCAGAGTTTGTTTAAAGCAAAATTCTGATTTCCAGGATTTGCACCCAAAAAATTCAAGTTCAAGAGGCCAAGAATGGAATCCCAGGTGATCCCAATATTATAGGCAGCCTTCAGAATATGTTTTCATGAAACATGACCTGGCTCTCAGTCATACTGTACATCAAAACCCTCTCAAGAACTAAACACACAAGTACACAGACACAATCAGGCACCTATAGCTTTAGAATTCCCAGGGCAGTACAGGGACACATGTATCCCCTAGTAATTCTGAGGTGCACCTTTCATGAATAAACACCATTTTAAAAGAATATTCTGGAACGTACAAAGAAAAGGGTGTGTGTGTGTGTGTGTGTGTGTGGTAAAGCAACAAAAAGAGGGGGAAGAACTTCTGTCTTTGCATTCACTCCTTAAATAGCCTCAACAGGCAGGCCCGGGCCAGGCTGAAACAATTCTGGTGCCCACATGAACAGCAGGAGTCCAAGTACTGCGGCCATCTTCTGTTGCCTTTGCAGGTGTGTTACCAGGAATCTAGATCAGAAGTAGACTAGCCAGTACTTAACTCAGGGCTCCACTATTGCACACCTGTACCAAACTGCAGCTTGACCCAGTGTACAGAATGCCAGTCTCAAGAAAATCTTTTTTTTTCCCAAGACCTATAGAGTCTGAGACTATCCTCTAAAACTGCAGACTTTGTACCTCTTCCAAGTCTATGATTTTTTTTTCTTTGTCTATTTGAACCAGTTTTCCCTTCCTCATCAAAGGTTTTTTTTTTTTTTTTTTCCTCAAGCCTCTCTATATAGTCAGGCTGCCTACCAATAACTAGCTTCCTCTTGAGTTTTTTATACCATTCACCTATTGTAATTAGTAAAAGGGAAAATGAACAAAAATTAAAAATCTTAATTTTATCCTTATAAATAAAGGATTTTTAAAATAAAATATTTTTAAAAGCTAATTATTTCACTCAAGTAGTTAATGAAATACATTGTTCTGGCTGGGGTGACATCCTTTAAAATTTATTTTTATTACTGTCAATTACTAAATCATAAGGCTATATGAGCCTCTAATATTGGATTCACTGGGAAACCTATAAACATGAATAGGAATTGGGGAGAATCATGGACACTCTCTCCAAGTGCCTGGAGAAAATATTTTCGTTAACACAGGTACAGAACAAATGCTCACATGCAGGAATTAACATGCTTAATTCCACTCTAGTTCTGTGGCTCAAAAGCTGTTTCATTGGTCAAGTCACTTACTTTCTTTGGGCCTTTGTTACCTCATTCATAAAAGAAGAAATAATATCTTCCCCCTCAAATTTTATGTTACTAATGAGTTAAGTGAAAATGACATGAAAATTATCAAAACAAAGGTATTTCTAATACTAAAATACTGGTAAATTCTTTATAACAATACATTTCTGCACATGTATTAATATAACCTCATCCTTATAATACTCCCATATCAGAGCGCCGGTTCAGTTCCCAACTGCTCTGCGTCCAATCCAGCACCTGGGGAGGCAGCAGAAGGTGGCCCAAGTATCTGGGCCCCTGCCACCCAAGAGGGCGACCAGGATGGAGTTCTAGGCTCCTAGCTTCACCCTGGACCAGCCCCAGGCATTGTGGTCATTTAAGGACTGAACCAGCACACAGAGGATCTCTTTCTCTTTCTGTCACTTTGCCTTTCAAAGAAATAATGTATCTTTTTAATTTTTTAATAATGTATCTTTTTATTGATCAGTTAGTTTCAGAGTTAAGAAAAGAACCTCATAAGCCTGATTTGATTAGGATCAAATAGCCAGGCAGCAGCAGAAACAGAAACCAGAACTTTGACTCCTTATGCTCTTTCAACTACACTATGTTGATCCTCTTTCATATCGTTTATATCTTAGGAGCTGGTGCTGTGGCACGGTAGGCTAAGCCTCCAACTGCAGCGCCAGCATCCCATATGAGCACTGGTTTAAGTCCCGTCTGCTCCTCTTCTGACCCAGCTCTCTGACAATGGCCTGGGAAAGTAGTAGAAGATGGCCCAAGTGCTTGGGCCTCTGCACCCACCTGGAGGACCCAGAAGAAGCTCCCAGCTCCTGGCTTCAGATTGGCCCAGCTCTGGCCGTTGCGGCCATTTGGAGAGTGACCCAGCGGGTGGAAGACCTCTCTCTGTGTTTCTCCCTCTCTATGTCTGTAACTCTACCTTCTCAAATAAATAAAAATCTTTAAAAAAAAAAAAAAAAAACCCACTACCTTAACCTTTAATAGCAATACAGACAACACAACAACATGCATTAAAGCAACTATCAAATCTACTATATAATCCCAGTATTTATAATCCACAGACAAGCCAGTTTTCAAAACTATTTCTAAATAGTTTCCTTATAAAGAAAAAAATTCATTAATCTACTAACAATTATATGACACAGTAAATTCAAGAAAGTCTTTGAAGTATATGGATTATGCCAATATAACATGCAAATTTAAGTACACACATATGAAAGCAAAAGACAAGAAAAAAAAAGTACAAAAACCAATAATACAGTGCCATATATGGCTGAGCAATGCTGTTTGATACCAGCAATAAAGTAACTGCCAAACGTTAGGTTATGGACTCTTCAAATATTTATCATCAAATAAAAAGTGTCAGAAGTAAAAATACAAAGCATTTTAGGACAATTTATTGGCAAGACTTAGTTTAATTATATTCCAATGAAACATTTAGATATATTTTCTAATATGAAGTAGGACTTACTATGTATATTCAATTATTACATATATTTACCTATTTAATAATCATGATGATTTTACACTCTTTTAACACGTAAGACATTTCAATTACTAAGAGAAAAATAAATTACTGACCAAATTTTTCTTTTGTTTTGGTATGTTAACTGGTTCAAAAATAGAGATGATGTTTCCATAGGATGCTGCAATCTTTTAAAAAGAAAAAAAGAAAACTTACTATGGTTATATTAGCTCACGTACAGATCAAAAGAAATAAAGTTTCATTTTAAATACATTCCCATATGCAATTTCCATCACTGATACTTGGCAACTTCAGTGGCAAAGACTAACACATTTGGGTCAGAATCCTAGCACTGTCATTTACTTTGTAACTAGCAAGCTAAACTCTTAGCCTTACTTTCCTTGTCTGTGTTTATAATATGCATAAAACTACCATCCTAACCATATTACTTTAGGAACTGAAATCACACTGGTAAAACATCATATAACAAACTATATTTGGTATGGAAAGTAATTATTGTTTTCCTCACAGAAGAAAAGATATCAATGCATTCTTTATCAGGTATGAAATTTGAAATTTGATACAATTTAACAATTACTTTTGAGTTACCTATCTTGTTTAAATTCTGGCAATATACTTTTTAAAAATAAAACTTAGAGGGGGCTGGTAATGTGGCACAGCAGGTTAAAGCCCCAGCCTACAGTGCTGGCATCCCATATGGGTGCCAGTTTGAGTATTGGCTGTTCCACTCCTGTTCCAGCTCCCTGCTAATGCACCTGGGAAAGCAGCAGAGAATGGCTCAAGTGCTTGGGCTCCTGGATTCACGTGAATGAAGCTCCTGGCTCCTGGCTTCAGCCTTGCCCAGGCCCGCACACTGCAGCCATTTGGGGAGTGAGTCAGTAGACAGAAGATCTCCTCTCTCTCTCTCCTCTCCCCATCTCCACCTCTCTTTATTTAACTCTTTCAAATACATAAATCTTTAAAAAATAAAAATAAAACTTAGATCTATTCCTCTGTGAATTCACCAAGTACACTGTTATAAATATTCTATTTTCATTTATTTTACATGTACTCTTTTAATCATTAGAGCATAACACTTCCTCAATGTTTTATAAAGTAGCTCCTTTTATAGCTTGAGTAAGTTCTATATGACAAACAAAATATCAGAAATCAGATGGAGCTAGGTATATAAGGATAAGGAAAAAGAGAAATAATAAATGAACTGGGGATAGAAGAAACCCCATATGATACAGTGAAGAGAGGGGTCAGAAGTGATGAAATAACATGCTGCTGGCGGGGGGGGGGGGGGACTTCCAATGGCTATTTGAAGTTTTCTGTGTTTGTAAGGTACAGAAATTACCTGTACTAAGTGGACCTGGGAGGGAGTGTTTAGTTTGGGTCTTTCAGTATGGCCAGGATCTCAAGAGGCAGTAAGTACCCAATTTTAGGACATAGGAAGAACATACGTGTAAAAACTAAGAAGCTGGGGGCCGGCGCTGTGGCTCACTTGGTTAATCCTCCGCCTGTGGCGCCAGCATCCCATAAGGGCACCGGGTTCTAGTCCCAGTTGCTCCACTTCCAGTTCAGCTCTCTGCTGTGGCCCGGGAGTGCAGTGGAGGATGGCCCAAGTGCTTGGGCCCTGCACCCACATGGGAGACTGGGAAGAAGCACCTGGCTTCTGGCTTCGGATTGGTGCAGCGCGGGCCATGGGAAGTGAACCAACGGAAAGAAGACCCCTCTCTCTGTCTCTCTCTCTGTCTATAGCTCTACCTGTCAAATAAAATAAAATAGAATTTTTAAAAAAAACTATAAGAAGCTATATATGATTAGAGGTGACCAACTGCTCAGCTTGAAGAGGGGATTACTAAATCAAAATAATGGACAGTAGACTAAAAGTCAAGCTTAAGCGAGCTTACAAAGTCTCATGACAAGAAACAAAGATAATCACAGAAGGGTTTTTCTAAAAAAAAAAAAAAAAAAAAAAAAAAAAAAAAAAAAACCACCCTGATGGCAACACAAAAAAAAAAGAAAGAAAAAGGTCAGACCACTAAAACACTATGGTGTCTAGCGGCTGGCGCTATGGCACACTAGGTAAATGCTTTGCTTGCGGCGCTGGCATCCCATATGGGTGCCGGTTCTAATCTCGGTTGCTCCTCTTCCAGTCCAGCTCTCTGCTGTGGCCCGGGAGTGCAGTAGAGGATAGCCCAAGTGCTTGGGCCCTGCACCTGCATGGGAGACCAGGAAGAAGCACCTGGCTCCTGGCTTCGGATCGGCCCAGCTCCAACTTGGGGAGTGAACCAACGGAAGGAAAACCTTTCTCTCTCTCTCTCTCTCTCACTCTGTCTGTAACTCTGCCTGTCAAATAAATAAAATCTTAAGAAAAACTATTGTATCTATGTACATTAACTCTTAAAAGAGGTTCCTATGTAACAGAACCTGCAAATTTTCTTCCTGACATTTTAAGGAACACTTTGATAATACTGATATCTGCAAACAAAGGAAATCTTCCCTTTATTATAATGACCAAAAATCCAAATGCCTTCTTCATCCTAACTTGGACTGTCATGTAGTTTAGCCTATCACAAAAAGATAGCTCTCACTAAAAATTATTTAATTAGATTTCTAATCTTATCCCATGTAAGTCTCGATGTTGTGAGCAAGTTTTTCTATAATAATAAAATAATTATTTCTATAAAGTACAATAATAAAGATTATAAATGTACAGAACTAGGAGATCAAACAAAACATACAAAACATGAAGAGAATGGAAAAAGAAAACAGGGAAGGGTCAAGGCTTTTTAGCATTTCATAATAAAGATCATTTTTGCAGTATAGTAATAAAACAACAGAAGGCAGACACTTGTAACTGTATCAAAGGAAAGGACACAGGGACAACAAAAGGACAGTACTCCCACAAATATGTGAAGACTGCAACACTGCAAACTCCTGCTACCATGAGTAAACACAGGTTTATCAGGATGTGAATCCATGGACTCTCACATGACCCCTTTGATTCCTCACATTAATTGCTCCAATGACATTTCTAGATTTCATTAGATGTTTCATCAAACAATATTTTTTAATATCTAGCAGTAAAAAAAAAAAAAAAAGTAAGTTTGCTGAGGAAGGCATCTGGCAGAACAGTGAAGAAGCCATTTGGGAAGCCCACATGCCATGTTAGAGCGGGAGTCTGAGTCCTAGTTCCTGTGCTGCCAATCTAGCTTCGGCTAAAGCAACCTGGCAGGCAGCAAACGAAGGCTAAGTGCTCGGGCCTCTGCCTCTCATACGCGTGACTCAAATGGAATACCAGGCTCCTGGCTTCAGCCTGCCCAAGAACTTTGTTGCTGGCACTTGCGGAGTTAACCAGTGAATAGATCCATCTCTGTCTCTGTCTTTCAAGTCAATGAAAATAAATAACCAAACGTTATTTTAACAAGAACAAAGCTGTCCAACCAAACACATATCTGAAAAAAAGTAAATGTGCGAAGTTCAGCCCAGTCTAGCTAAAACTGTACACAGGCCTGACCATCCACACCTACATGGTACTATTTTAAGCAATAAACTATGCTGCCTACCAAGTAAGATTCCCATTCTAGAACATCATAAAACTGTATTTAATCTGATGTAGAACTCTATGCATTGCTTCTTGTTTCTGTTTTGCTACTTTACTTTCAAAGTTACCTTTATACTTCTCACATGCAAACTAAAGTCCAGATAAAGTTTTTCATTTTTCTTACAATCATGTAAGAAATTAACAAACTATAACAGAGTTGAGAAGCATTTATCTTCTTCTCAGTAAAAGTGTATTCAGAAGTTACAATAAGATTACTTGTTTACAAAGAATGACTCTGCCAAATGATTTTTCTTCCAGTTTATTTATAAACAGAGTGAAGATCTGTCATTCCCTTCCCTCATTATAATTAATTTTAAATAAGTAAGCTTTAGGCCTTTTCCACAAATAGTATTATATTTCTGTCTCAACTCATAGATTACATTTTCAAATTATTTACAAACAGAACCCTGATGCTCTCAAATGCATCTCAGAAACTTGAAACAAGTAATTTGTAGATACCTTGTCCTTGTCTCAAATTCAAACAAAAAAATACTTCAAATATTAACCTGACAAAAATCACAGTCAAAATAAATTTGCAAATTACCATAAGATTACAAACCTTGCCTTGCTGCATTGAACAGTCTACACATCCTACTTGAATATTTCCATGTTTAGCTCCTGGTATTATTTGTAATCTTTCAAAATCACTTCCCAGTATTACAATGTCACATCCAGATGCATAAGCCTAAAACAGAAATTAAAATAAAAATGATAAAAGCATCAAGAAATCATGTAGAATATTAGCATTAAAAACTTTTTTAAACAGATCCATTCTAAATGTTGACTTCTTTACAAATAAAACCCTATATTTAAAACTATTTCCTTTACTTCCCATATACAGCCCATTAAGAATTCTTACCTGCAAAGTATACTGGTATACCAACCAACCCTTACTTCTTACATCTCTACTGTCCACAAGGACCCTCGCTCATCTAAGCCACTATCCTCTCTCTCCTACAGCACTATTAAATACCATTGCTTCTGTACTTGTCTTCTGCTTCAATTCCACACAAAGCCAAGAGTCACTTTTTAAAAATGTTTACTGTATCAAGTAATTTTCCATACTTAAACCCTTTAAATAGTTTCCCACGTTGCACCTATAACAAAATCCCAACTCCTTAGGATGGTCATATACCCTTGAATAAACATATCTGAGGCTGTTCCTTTCTTCTTTCCTTTGCTTAACCAACTTCTGTCCCTACACTGCCCTTCTCTCTGTTCCTTTTTCCATCTCAAGATAGTTTATCTGCCTGGTCTTTGTCTAGCTGTCTTCAACACTCAGATCTCATTTTCCAATCATTCTTTCTCCCATTACTTGCCATCACATTACGATTTATTCTCTTCAGAGCATCTATATCATGATTTGTAAATATCTTAAATATATTCCATGTCCATTACCGTAAGGTGAATTCTAAGAGGTGAAGGATCAAGTTTATCTTGTTCTCTAACAGAAGGGCCTGGAATATAGCTAGGGCTTTATAAAGACCTATGGAGTTAAAAAAAAAAAAAAAAATCCAATCTCACAAAAAAACAGCCACCGTAACCAAACAAACAGAAAGAAAGTTAAAGGCTTTAGGCAAACATTCTATAACTCTTTTCCAACTCCACAGTTATTAGCAGAACTCTTCCAACTAGAATTCTTTGTTTTTCCCTACTTTCTTCTTTGATCACCGGGGTTTCTTCCATTACAGGGTACTTGGTTGTCCTCCTTAAGATTCACATATTATAGGCAGGCACACACTGTAACAAACTAAAATTAAAGTATATCACAAATTGTTTTCCATCACGAGTTCTTACAGAGTTAGTCATTCTTTACTTTCTCTTCACTTTTGCATGTGCCTAAGCGGGTACTTCAAAATCGAATTAAATGATAAGTTTACTGTCTTGAATTCCATGTGTTATGTGAAATTAATATATCCACTCCTGCCTTGTGTTGGTATGTCTCTGGTGTATATTTAATTCTCAACCTTTCAGAAAAAAGTTTATTTGGATTAAAAAAAAATCACCTGACATGCATGATATTTTTGACACATCTGCACATTGTCTGATGTTCAAATCAGGAGAAATGTTATCTATTTCCTCAAACACTGATCATTCCTTTATGGTAAAAAAAATAAAAATCCTTTCTTATGGCTTATTTTTTAGAAAAATATGCAGTACATAACATACAAAAGAATTCCAGAATTTCCTTCTTTATTCAACTATAACTTAATACACATCAACAACCTTAAGTTTTTTATAAAATTGCCTTCTTGAAAGTCATACTTTATGGCTTAAAACTTAAAAAGTTAGAAGGTGAGTGTTGTGGCACAGCGTGTTAAACCACTGCTTGGGAATCCTGCATCTCATACTGGAGTGCCAATTTCTGTCCCTGTTCCTCTGCTTCTGATTCACCTTCCTACTTATGTGGAAGAAGGCCCAAGTGGTCCTTGCCATCCACATGGGAAACCTGGATGGAATTCTTGGCTAAACAAATTTCTATTCATTGTACATTACCTATTCTGTGATATTCTATAAATCAGTACAAAACAGACTACGATAGAATGACACACGTGAGCATAATTCTTTCACTTATAAAAGTATGTTAACATCATATTCAAAAAATTAAATCTTTAAGAATATAGAAGACCTAAAATTGAAGAAAAAAAAAAAGTGAATCTATTTGATTGAATTTTTGAAGCCAGGAGCTTCTTCTGGGTCCCCCATGCGGGTACAGGAGCCCAAGGACTTGGGCCATCTTTTACTGCTTTCCCAGGCAATAGCAGAGAGCTGGATCAGAAGAGGAGCAGCTGGGTCTTGAACTGGCGCCCATATGGGATGCCGGCACTACAGGTGGCGGCTTTACCTGCTATATCACAGCGCAGGCCCAAGAATAAAACTTTCTTAAAAACTAAATTATTTATTTGAAAGGCAATGTGAGAGAGAGAGAGAGACAGACAGAGACAGACACACACATACACAGGGATAGAGATAAATTTCCATTCACTGCTTCACTCAGCAAAAGGCCACAACAGCCAGGTCTGAACCAAGCCCAAGCCGGGAGCCAGAACTCCATCCAGGCCTCCCAGATGGGTGGCAGGGATCCAAGTACTTGAGCCTTTGTCTGCTGCTTCCCATGAACATTAGCAGGGACTGGGATGGAGAATGGAGCAGCCGGGACCCAAAGCAGCACTCTGATATGGGATGTGGGCATCTAAGCAGCAGTTTAACCCACAGTTCCACAACACCCACCCACTAGAGTAAACGTTTGATAAAGATCAATGTATTTTCATGATCTTTTCTTTAAAAATCTATTTATTTACTTGAATGACAGTTACAGAGATAAAGAGACTCTTCACCTAAGGGTTCACTCCCCAGATGGCCTCAACAGCTGGGGTTAGGCCAAGCTGAGGCCAGGAGGCTGGAACTCCACTCATCTCCACACGTGTGCAGGAGCCCAAGCACTTGGGTCATATTCTGCTGCCTTCCGAGGTGCATTACAAGGGAGCTGGATCAGAAGTGGAACAGCCAGGACGTGAAACTGTGCTCATATTCAAGCAGCAGCTTGCCATTGCCATTCTCCCCCTACTCGTTCCAACACCAGCCCTTATTTCCACAATCTTCAAGTCTCTCCACAATCATATGCTTATTTTCAATGGTAGGGGCAGGGAGATGGGGCAGGGAGTATCAAACCAGTTATACAGTGGAGAAATTGGGCAACATCTTCATGGGGTCATCAAAATTCAATCACTAATGAGGCACAGATATGCATCATGTGCTTCCAAATAAGAAATCTAGAAAGGCCAGCGCCGCGGCTCACTGGGCTAATCCTCCACCTAGCGGCGCCAGCACACCGGGTTCTAGTCCCTGTCGGTCAGGGCGCCGGATTCTGTCCCGGTTGCCCCTCTTCCAGGCCAGCTCTCTGCTGTGGCCAGGGAGGGCAGTGGAGGATGGCCCAAGTGCTTGGGCCCTGCACCCCATGGGAGACCAGGAGAAGTACCTGGCTCCTGCCATCGGATCAGCGCGGTGCACCGGCCGCAGCGTGCTGGCCACAGCGGCCACTGGAGGGTGAACCAATGGCAAAGGAAGACCTTTCTCTCTGTCTCTCTCTCACTGTCCACTCTGCCTGTCAAAAAAAAAAAAAGAAAAGAAAAAAAGAAAGAAAGAAATCTAGAAAATACACCACCAGCTATGCAGCATTTAGGCCAAGAATGTATAACCTCAATCTGATGAAGAAGAAACATCCTACATATGCAAAATGAAGTGCCTTATTTGGATATAAATCAACTAGAGCTTCTGTAGTTGCTGACAGGACTATAAAACTACAAAAAGTTAAAAAACATATATACCCTATGATTCAGCAATTCTACCCATATTCAATACAAGCACGTTTTGCACAGGTAAGTAACAACGAAATCAGCTTATGCTTCACACACTGAGCACCTGGTACTGGCTCAACTGTGGGTGTCACTGAGTCCAAGGGCACTGAGGTCTGTCAGACTTGCTTCTTGTGAAGACAGGCTGAGATTTTTTGCCTTTGGAACTCCAGGAAGCCAAATGACTTCTCTGAATCAAGAAAATGCACAGTTGATGGATTTTCACCCCATTCATTATAGGTTCAAGTATAAGTGATAACTTTTGGGAAAGAGGATCGTCCAGAGTCAGGGTGAGGAGAGTCTGGTATATCTCCATTGTCATGTTTCCAGGCAAGGTTCTGTAGAAGGACTGGAGAGAAAGCTCTGGAATGACCTGGAAATGTCACTTGTTCTTTAGCAGAAAACATGGAAGCCCCGGCTGTACCAGTGTTGACCTAAAGTCATCCTTGGGGACACTGGACACAAGACCCTAAACTATTCATCAATAACAGAATGGACAAATTCCAAAAATCATATAATGGGATGCTATAAAGCAAGGATTCTCAAACTTTGTGGTCTCAAGAATGCTATGTATTCTTAAAAAAAACACTGAAGACAATCGGCCTTCTTGCATTTGGCCTAATGGTTAAGACCCCAGTTAGGATGACTGCATCCTATTATCAGAATACCTGAGTTCAAACCCTGACTCTAGCTCCTGGTTCCAGCTACTGCTAATACAGACACTGGGAGGCAGAAATGGTGGCTCAAGTAATGGGGTTCCTCTACCCACATGGGAGACCTAGATGAAACATCTGGCTCCCAGCTTTGCCTCTGTATGCACCTGGGAACTGAACCAGCAGAAGGGAGCTATGTCTCGCAAATATTTTTTAATCACCCTCATCTCCCTTTCTTTCTTTTTTTTTTTTGGACAGGCAGAGTGGACAGTGAGAGAGAGAGAGACAGAGAGAAAGGTCTTCCTTTACCATTGATTCACCCTCCAATGGCCACCGCAGCCGACGTGCTGCGGCCGGCGCACCACACTGATCCGATGGCAGGAGCCAGGTACTTATCCTGGTCTCCCATGGGGTGCAGGGCCCAAGCACTTGGGCCATCCTCTACTGCACTCCCTGGCCACAGCAGAGAGCTGGCCTGGAAGGGGGGCAACCGGGACAGAATCCGGCACCCTGACCGACCAGGACTAGAACCCGGTGTGCTGGCGCTGCTAGGTGGAGGATTAGCCCAGTGAGCCCCGGCGCCGGCCTCTCATCTCCCTTTCAAGAGCTTTGATCTGTATGGATTATCTCTGTATTTACCCTTTTAGAAATTAAATCTGAGGCGCTTCCAGATAGCT